ACTTGGCTTTGGACTTCTTCCAAATCCCAAAAGGTCAACAGCAAAAAGTCTGTATTGACCCTTTACCGGTTCAAATAGATTCTTAAAAACTGTATCTGTCCATAACGTGGAAGAAGAAAGGAATCCATGTAAAAATATCACATTTTCAGCTGACTCTCCTCTCGAATCATCACTTTCCACTGTCAAACAAAAAGTCTGGCATCAAAATCAGCAACCATTTAATACTACATTAACTGCTACACCCTAGTTATAGGGTAATTGATAAATGTAATTAAAAGAGTAATTGACAGATGTAATTAAAGGAATAATTGACAGATGTTAAATTTTAAATCTCTGTTAGTACTCATTCCAATTAATTCTCTCTGTATTGTGGCTAAGGCTAAGTTGGGCAGTACTTAGATAATATCTACCATCAATTACCAAAGTGAATGCTCAATAAAGTTAAGGGAATTAACACAGGAAGTCAGCTTTCCAGCTTCTTGATTGTTTAAGGTCTAAATGTAAATCGTACATAAATCGGTTTCATTTGTCAATGCTTCATTGTAGTTCAAAATTAATGATTAAAAACAAAAAAACAAATGCATTGCCTAAGAATTACCTTGTGGCAGCTCTTTCACAACAACATGAAGCTTCTGACAACCATTCTTCATCCAAGAAACACAAGACTCACATCCACAATCAGACCACCTATTCACCAACCTTCCTCCACCAACAAAACCATCTCTTTTTTTTCTATATTCCCATTTTCTTGCAAAGCCAAGAAACCCCATTTCCCTGAATACATTTTTCCTCCCATACAAAGTCTCTGACAAACCCCTCTCTCCATCACCACAATCTCCATTTTGCTCTCCCTTGTTTACACAATAACATGGAGAGGCTTTACCTTGGAAGAACTCATCAAGAAACTTGTATACCACACAAAGACTAGCATCAAGAAGGTCGAGGAAAAGAAAGACAAAAAAAGTGATGGCATCAAGGAGGATTGTGCCACATTTCCTTGTCCCTTTTCCGAGTGAATTTGCAATCGACATGGATGGGAAAAAGAACTTAAATGAAGGAAAGTGGTAAGACAAATGGACAAGTGAAAAACCTTTGTGGAGTTGGAGGATTGGACAGGAAGAACATATAGAAAAGTTGAAAGACAAGAAGTAAGAATGGTTTCGGACAAAACGAAGATAAGAGATGAATGTTAGAGCCACGTCCTGGCTATGGAGAATGGAGTCGAAGAGTTTCAGAATCTTGGAAAAGTTTGTCGTTTGATGTTGTTTGAGGTCGAAATGCATTTACAACATTCCAAATCAAGGGTTGATTAAAAAATACAAAAGGATTAGTTGTAGAAATTAGAAATTTGCTCGTGAGAAATGTTAAACAGAACAATGACTCCTTAAATGATACGTCAAATTTATGATTTATTTTTGAACTGACATAATTTTATCATTTATATTTTTTTAATGTAATTTTAAAATATTAAAAAAATTATAATATTTTGTAGAATATGTTTATTTTGTTAACAAAATATTGTTTTAGTATGATTTTTTTTATCATTTTTTAATCAAATTATAATAAATAAATCATTATCGAACAATTGTTTATTATATATTTAGTAATAGAATTATATTAAAATTATGATTGAAAATAAATACTGTAATTTTCTTTTGTTTAAAAAAATCACACTTTTATAAGTAAAGGACAACGTGAAGATAAGTGATGAATGTTGAGCCACGTGCAGCTAGGAAGCATATGGAGTTGACAGAGTTTCTAGAATAT